GTGTGTGTGTGTGTGTGTGTGTGTGTGTGTGTGTGTGTGTGTGTGTGTGTGCGCGCGCGCATGCTTGTGTGTAGTTTGGACCCAGATGTGAGAAGAGGAAGATGTTTTCCATGGGTATGCGAGTGCATGATGATGTAGATCTACTTTTGTGATGAAAGAACTCGACCATTTCGCTTAATATTGTCTTTTTCGAGGAATTTGCTGTTTGTAGAACTGCGTCTGTGGTTTAGTGGTGAGGCAAGTGCTTCACCGTCGCACACAGAAGGCGTGAGTTCGATTCCCGTGTGGGCAGGGTAGTTATTGTTTGGTTGTTTTTTTAATCGAGTAGCTCAGTCTTGACTGCTAGGTCGCTGTATCCCTTTCTGCCCTGATTGGCCCTAACAGGCGGGGCTGGAGTAATCAGCCTTCTGAATTTTATCTAAATTGTGTCGATTTTATTTATGTGTCTATTTATTCATTTATTTATTTGTTTGTTTATTTTTTCTTTGGGGGGGGGGAGGTGAGATAAAAACATTTACAATTACAAAATGCATTACATTACATCTCTTTATGGTGGAACGAGTATAATGAGCGGTTAGCTCACATACTTATATATATATGTGGTCCTGGACTACAGTTTGGGCGACTCTGGTTCGAACCTCTGCAGTTTCAGATTGTTTGAAAAGTTTTGATGCTTACTTTTTATATTGTGTTCCCCCTTGTTGTTTCTGTCTGTGTGGGTGGTTGGAGGGTGCCACTGGTTGGTCCCACGTCTTGTTCTATTTCACTCTGTTTTTGCTGCCTGTGTGGATGGTTGGAGGGTGCCACTGAGTGGTCCTATATTTTTTCTCTTTCCCTCTGTTGTTTCTGGCGGGTTGTTGGCAGGTGCTGTGATGTGGTTTGCTCCCTCTTTCCTATCAAACAGCTGTCGTCCTTATCTCTCCTCCTTTTTTTGTGTTGGCTACTCTCTCGTAACACCTCTAATCTTCGGCACTTATATGATCTTATTGTATTGCTAGTACCGTACAGCTCTGACTAAAAAAACTAAAACCGTTGTGTGGGTATTTGGAGGGTGCCACTGGTTGGTCATTAGTCCTACTTCTCTTTTCACTTCCTCTTTGTCTCCTGGCCGTGGGTGGTTGGCGGGTGCTCTGGTGTGGTTTGCTTCTTCTTTCCTATCAAACGTCTATCGTCTTTATCTCCACTCCTTCTTTTGTGTGTTTGTTACTCTCTTGTAACTCCTCTAATCTTCGGCCCTTATTTGACTGTAGTGTGTTGCAAGTGCCGTAAAACTCTTACTAAAACTAAAAACTTGCTTGTAACACTTTTAATCTTCGGTACACATATGTGACCTAATTGTATTGCAAGTGCCGTAAGACGCTGGCTTACTTAAACTAAAACTCCTTTTGTTTCTGTATGTGTGGGTGGTTGGAGGGCGCCACTGGTATTAATTATATCTTACATCTTTGCTACCCCTCTGTTGTCTCTGTCTCCCATGGCCTTGTTTCTCTCAGCACCGACTGACCGCTGTTGTGCCGAGGCCTAGACAGTCAGAGATAGTATAAGAACGTATAGTATAGGCCGAGGCCTAGACGGTCAGAGATAGTATAAGAACGTATAGTATAGGACGAGGCCTAGACGGTCAGAGATAGTATAAGAACGTATAGTATAGGCCGAGGCCTAGACAGTCAGAGATAGTATAAGAACGCATAGTATAGGACGAGGCCTAGACGGTCAGAGATAGTATAAGAACGTATAGTATAGGCCGAGGCCTAGACAGTCAGAGATACTATAAGAACGTATAGTATAGGCCGAGGCCTAGACAGTCAGAGATACTATAAGAACGTATAGTATAGGCCGAGGCCTAGACAGTCAGAGATACT